GAAAACAGATGATGAAGATTTCGGATTCTAAAATTTCCTCTCTCGTACCACATGATCGTATGTCAACGTGGGCATGCGTACACGTAACAAAATGTGGAAGACGAATTGTTTACTCTAGATATAAGGAAAGTACAATTATCTGTCAAAGTCTTAAGGATAAAAAATACAGATGGAAGTTTCAAAATGATTAGATAATAAAATGTCCTAGATCAATATTTGAACATTTTTGTCGCGGTAAATCATAGTGTGGTAGTATTATCACCAGACGGACAACAACATAAAGTCGTGCTCAGTCAGGATAGCGGCATCCATCAACCACGGGGAATTGATTTAAATTCTATCACGAACATCTTGTTGGTGGTAAATAGGAATGCTGCATTTGTTTGCACCTGTCCTAAGTCAGGAATCTGATGTTCAGTAGTTGTAGTTTGTGGATGTGGTTCATAAGTGTTTCTCGTTTCTCGTTTTTTATATAGATAAGACCGTTTGTGAGAAACTGCAAATCAGAACTTCTTGAAATTTGGTGACAATTTCATGTGGGCATGCTATACCGTGAGGTGCACTTTCACATTCATCACTCACCAACTTCCTGTTTGTCGCATACTTGTATATTTTAACACCATGACCCTGTTTAAAATTTTTGTCGCATTTTCTCAGGAACTACAAATTCATGAAATTAATTCGATATCAAGCTTCATTTATGTTAGTAGAGACATTATAGATTCAAATGAACGTTGTTACAGGTTATGAAGTCAGGGAATTCGTTACTTCAAATTAATTAAAACGTTTACTAAATTTTTTTATAGATACAAAGATTTGGTTTTGAAATTTGGCTGCACGTGTAGATTGAATCTTACTACAAACGGGATGGTAAATCCTATTTTCACAGTACTGTTGTTTATAAAGCCCGTACATTTAGATACTATCCACGAACAAGAGTTACAAAAGCTTCGTCCACATGGATTGACCATGGTTTATTGTAATGTGCCAGAATTTGTTTTCTTATTTCAATTCCAAAATATTTAATCAAAGCAACAGCAAGTTAATGACAATCGCATCCATCGCCCATCAACTTCATGTTTACCGAAAAGATAAGTCAGCAGTAACTCGATTACATTTCAACTTGTTTGATCTTTATTTGTCTTTCCAATATTAAAATATAAAAAAGGTGAATTTTAATTCAGAAAAATACAATGTATGTACCATTTGTCTCTTTTTAAATGTAAAATCTCAAAATTTTAATAAGTACCCTTATCAAAGATAAGAGGGGAATTAAATGTCAAATGAGGCACTATATTACATATTTGTTAATAAATCTGAGAGATGATACAGATTTCTGTACGCACGATACGCTCGAGACCAAAAGTTTGCATATGAAAGCCGCAAAAAAAGTTTAAGAGTTTTCACATGTAAAAGCCTTAATGGAACTAAATAACTTGCCATCTTCGTGCAAATGCATGGCAAAAAGTAAAATAGCAAAAATACCGACCTATGAAAATTCAAAACGGAAATCCTTTATCAAATGGCAAAATCAAAAGCTCAAACACATAAAAATGGCAGAAATCATCGTCATACATAATCAAGCCAAACATCATTTTAAAAAAGAAGGGTCAATGTACGATCATGTACTCGTTTTAAAGCTAATGATTAAAATCAGTCGAAAAATGCATCTTTTCGCGATATTTCACAGTTTGACGTTGCGAAAAAAAACAATTTACGTTAGCGACGGCATTACCTCCCCTGTAAGTTGTAACTGTATCGGGAATAAGTAAAATAACAAAAATACCGAACTCCAAGGAAAATTTATAAAGGGACAGTCCCTTATCAAATGGCAAAATCAAAAGCTCAAACACATCAAATGAATGGAAAACAACTGTCATATTCCTTACTTGGTACAGGCATTTTCTCGTGTAGAAATGGTGGATTAAACCTGGTTTTAGTAGCTAACTAAACCTCTCACTTGTATGACAGTCGCATGGACAGTGAGTGGCAGTTATCTTGTTTGTTGTCGCATTGCTGATCATCATCCTGAATATGCATCAAATGTTTACTACATGGCGTCAAACAATTCTAGGTAACCAGTATAGCTGTAATTTAGAAATAGTCCTCTTCCTTCTGGTGGTATGACCCATACTGTAAGTGTATCAGTGTTTGTACTTTTGGCATATTTGAGTTGTATGTATCAATAAAAAAAATAAAGTTTTTGATTAAAATTATCTTCTGAAGGGTATTGTGGTGATAGCATGTGTATAAGGTTTTTGAAAGTTTTTTTTTCGATGTTTCAGAACAGAAATTGGCATTTTAGATGTATATTTATGGTATATTTTGATAAGAAGTGGTATGTATTAAAGAAAGACAATTTCTCAAAAAAAATTTATCACGAATTTATTTTGTTGAGTTGAGTAAAATTTATAAATTAATGTTCATAGTTGATATGTAAAATGACAGCCAGTTAAAATGGATCACTTAGGGGAAGCGTATTTTGAAGATACTGGGTCAGTTAATAAACATTAATTTTTAATAACACATTATATAAATCATCCGAAGCGGTTTATGGATTAACCTTAATAAGGAACGCTCAAACCTAAACACTTAAAAGCCAAGGATGTATGAATACGTATGAACGTTAGGAGCCATATGACATAAACACTTAAAAGCCAAGGATGTATAAATACGTATGAACGTTAGGAGCCATATGACCTAAACACTCAAAAGCCAAGGATGTATGAATACGTATGAACGTTAGGAGCCATATGACCTAAACACTTAAAAGCCAAGGATGTATGAATACGTATGAACGTTAGGAGCCATATGACCTAAACACTTAAAAGCCAAGGATGTATGAATACGTATGAACGTTAGGAGCCATATGACCTAAACATTTAAAAGCCAAGGATGTATGAATACTTATGAACGTTAGGAGCCATATGACCTAAACACTTAAAAGCCAAGGATGTATAAATACGTATGAACGTTAGGAGCCATATGACCTAAACACTTAAAAGCCAAGGATGTATGAATACGTATGAACGTTAGAAGCCATATGACCTAAACACTTAAAAGTCAAGGATGTATGAATACGTATGAACGTTAGGAGCCATATGACCTAAACACTTAAAAGCCAAGGATGTATGAATACGTATGAACTTTAGGAGCCATATGACCTAAACATTTAAAAGCCAAGGATGTATGAATACGTATGAACGTTAGGAGCCATATGACAAAAAAGGAACCTAAAAAGAATAGCCTTATTCATTTGAGGTCAACTTTGCATGAGAGAACAGAGGCGTATTTAGGGGGGACAAGGCGTCCAGTCCCTCCTTATTGAGCTGCATATACATGTATGGTTAATGCATAGACTTTTACATTTAACACTCGAAACTTTGCCTTGTTTGTCCCCCCCCATCCCCCCGCAAACCCACCCAACCCCCAATTTTTTAAAAATCCTGGATCCGCATCTGGGGTGATGGAGTCTAAATTTCTTCAAAAGTTCTTAATTTATCAGCAGAGAACTTAGAAAATACGTTATAAATCATGTCAGTACTCAAACATGGCTACTGAGCTGAAGGAATGTTCAAGAATTTGTCTATATCAATTTTTAAAGATTAACATTAAACAGTATCTACAAGGACGGTTTATCCAGAAGAGTTGATTCGCCGAGTAAAAAAAAAACAGTTCATCTAGAGGAATATTGTATTCAAAAGTTTAAACTGACTTGAATTTAGAACCTTATCTCGTTAAATTAAACTAAACTTTGAATTACGCTCCCCGAATATAATGTGTTCTATCTAGTCAGGCAGGTGGACTCATATATACCAAGATATGAACGTTGCTATATCCACTGTCCATATCTTACTAGCGATTAAATGCAGTATCTTTTCTTTCGTAATCATCCAAGCAGGCCTCGTCTATGAAAAAAATACATCCCACTATGTTACATAGACATATATCCTCTTTTTTGCGATGTCTCTTTTTACAAAAGGATAAAATTAGATATAATTCATCTAACGTCACAGTACCCAAATTGCACCGAGTACCCAAATTACACCTATTCAACAAAAATAGCAGCGGAAATCTTACAAGTTTTCTTTGAGACTAAATAATTTGTATTTTTATGATTTGACATTATACACGTCTTTCAACATAGGTAAATATATTTAAATATACACTAAACGTTCACAGTATATATCAACAGATGAATCATTCCCTGGAAAAAGTAAATCTACGGAAACGTCGCCATGCGACGTTCTCAAAATGTCATCTTTTAAAAATGAGCAAATTAAAAAAAAAGTCATGTTACAAGCATCCATTTCTTAAAAAAAAAATAGTAAGCATGGAATAATGTCAAATTGTTCAAATATTTGAAGAAATAAAACAAACATCTGTTATTTGATTTTTAAGGATGTGAATTTAAACATGGGTGCAATTTGGGTACTCCTCATAACAGAATCATGGATCGTTTGGAGGTCGGTTCAAACCCATTTTGTCATGAATCAATATGGATTCAAAATTAAATTGGTGTAACTATATAGTAAATAAGGATACTTCTACAAAATAAACACAGAATGGAAACTTTTGTCTGGATCATAAAAAAACGTAGGTGAAAAAACTGTCAAAATAGGTGCAATTTGGGTACCCTCACGTTATATATTTTATTAACAGTTTTACGTAAATGGAACCTTATTTCCCATTATTTTTCTTTCTTTATAGATTAAAATTTGAATATATATTGTATGTATAAGAAGTATTGATTTGTGACTTCTGGTATAAAATTTGATTGTTTTTGTTATGTAACTTTGTCTAACATGCTGCAAGTATATTTATGTGTTCATGTTTGCATTGTCGGTCTCCTGGTGCTTGAAATGTGGCTGTGGACTAAATGAAATAAAAGTTTCAATTGTATTGTTTTTTTTTATTAAACTCCGAGTATTTTCCTGCGTATTTAGAAAGTAGTTCAAATTAAGGGATACTTCACTGGAGCTTGGACTGTGAAGACCAACTTAAAGAAATAAATTTCATTCTGTTTGTTGTAAAATTACAATACATAAACATACTGATTGATTTTACACCACGAACAGTAAAAACAAAAGTAAAAGCAGTAAAACTGATAGAACAATTCCAAAACATATGCATAAAGTATTTTCAACATAATGCTAAAGAGTGTTACAATGTCATGAAAAGAGCTTTAATTTCAAAATAATTCTTTGATTAAAAACTACAAATGCAAAAGATAACAAGAATCACCAAAAATATTGGACAGTACAATAAGGTCACAACAACCAACAACGTTCGACTCCGCAGAAAAAATAGAGGTACGAACAAAACAACATCCAGATAGTCTGAATAGGGTCGGACACAAAATGTGATGGGTAAACGAGTTTTACGTGCTCTCTGGATTGACTATTAATATATCAGCATAACATATAGACTTGTCTTTAGGACATAGTGTGGTCTTATAAGAAAAATTTCGCCCACTTGTGGAGTAGTATCTGAGAGTAGTTTATACGTAGTTAATAATTGTGTATTTGTGTCAGACTCTGTACAATGTGCTGACAAGTCTCTGTGATATATATATACATGCGTCTGTGTAGCAGGGATATTTAGATGCACGAAAATACTGGTTTAGTATCTCATCCCAACAAGTATAATAACTACACCAGGCGTGTGACAATTAGTAATCTTTAACAGTATCAATAAATCCACTTGCTCTCGAAGATTTTTTATATTCCAGTGCAATAATATCATCGTAACGTCTCAATATCACTCTGTTGCCATTGACGATTATAACACTTCCGGCGAGCAAATCACGCGATTTCTTACTATCTAATAAAATGACCCATCTGAAAGACATTGGAAAGTACTGAAGAGATTTCATGTGACACTCTTTGTTTGAATATAACAGACTTTTCAGTTGATAGTATACATCTTCATGTGAGGCGTGACTTCCGCCCAGATCAAACACCAAAGCATTTGGAATAGGCTCTGGTTGTGACTTTGTTTCACTTTTAGCGTACTTTTTAATTTCTGCCATTACGTCCTCAAAGATTTCATTAGAATACCTGTAAATTCAAGAATAATATACAAGATTCATTTTTTAGTATCTGTAAAATTGTGAATACTAAAATATTGTTTAACTGTTTTGGACTGATAAATACTGAAGATATACCTGTTTAGTCCTCTTATTTTTGGGTAAGGGGGAGGGGGAAAGTTTAAATATAGTCCCATGATTTGATATGTATCCGTCAAATTTGGAATAGGCTGTATTTAAACTTAAAGAAATAAACAAAATGACAAACCATTCACAAGTAACTTCTAAGCAGTGTTTGCAGAATCTTGCTATCCTATATTTGGTAACCTGTTGACTTTTCAAATAAAAATTGTACCAATTATTAATTTTCGGCATATTCATATCGTAAAATGTCAGCTGCAAATTATACAATATGAAGCCTTTTTTTGCTAGTAAGCGCACAGGGCGTGTTTAAATGAAGCACATTATCTTACATGTAGAGCAGCTGAAATTTAAAAAATACAGGGATTTTTAATTCAAAACGTATATATCATACAGGTAGTACATCGTAAACAGTCCTTTCCATCTATTTTTCAAAGTTGTTCCTGTGTTGTGCTGTTACACCACTGCTGTAGGTTAGGGTAGGGTTGAGCGCTCATATACATGATTAACCCAGATTAATTCTTTATAGGTGCCTGTCCGATACCAGGAGCCTGTAATTCAGTGAATGTCATTGGTAGCTGTCTACCATATTTGTTTTTCGTTTATTGTTTATCATTAATCAGGCCGTTGATTTTCTCGTTTGAATTATGTTCATATTTTGTCACGCTGCGGCCTTTTATTGCTCACTATACGTTATGGGTTTTGCTCATTGGTGAAGGCGAACAGCAACCTATCGATCTAGTTACTATATTACACCCTCGTCCTTTTCTCTCTGGTGGACGATTGTTTCATTTTACGTCTTAAACGGTGATATTGGAGTTCGTGTTGAGGTGGATACTGAAGTCTAAGGGAAGACCATTAAACATACTAGCCCTTTTCCATACCTGCCCTGTTATACCAAGATCTGGATATCTGTCAAAGGGCTTTAGTTCGAGGGCAGATATATCAAGATTTTGGGATAATTCAAGGGAGACATGGAAAGGGAATACATTATCACTTATTTGTGTGCATCAATAAAAATGAATGATCAATAGCCGAAATAAATGTGTATTTATATTACCTGTGACATAGCTTTTTTTAAAAGCAGTTAAGTTCAGTTCAAACTAATTCAACAAATTTTGCATGGGGTGTCTTTATCTTGAATCAGATACACCAACACACAATGGCAACGGTCAGGAACGCCAACTGTGCAGCAATTGCCGTTGACGAATCGCACCTATGACGTCATTGACGGATCAAAGACATGACGTCATAGTCAAAAGCCTTTGATCTTGGAAGCTGCATTTTTTCTCACTTGCACATACATAATTATAAAAATGAATAAATTACTTGAAAACAAGTATCACTTACTTGACTTTTTCTTTCTTTGGTGCGCGAGGTGTGTTTGATTTGGAAGATTTATTAAATGTAGAAACGCTTGACACGGACGATTCCAATTCTGCGTTCGTAGTTAACTTCGCCGATCCTTTCGTTCTGAAGGAATTTGATTTCGTCAGTATCTTAGGCTTAACACACTTTAGCTTAGTTTCACTTTCTTTTAAAGTAGATAATGTTGTTTTCGTCTTTGCCTTTCGTCGCCATTTACGAGCGAACTTTGTCGGTCGGATTTGTTCTTGGATAACAAGCATAGCGATTCTACGAAACATTTTGAGTATGCGACTGTTTCTATTGCACAGAACGTCAGTAAGTATACAATCCTGTTTATACACAAACTATTACGTGTAAAAAAGAAATGTTATTTAAGTTATATAGGTATTCTAAGTAGCTAGTGGAATAAATGATCACTTAAGATTCTAAACAGATAAACTGTTTTTTTAGAATAAAGTAAAATCAATTAAAAGATTTAATTTGTATGTATGTGGGTTCATAATTTAAATATCCTGGGTTTTTTAAATATTAAACTTTTCATGTATGAAAAACACTTGAGATGTCTTTTATTGTATATAGATCAACCGAAAGATAAATCATTATGATTAAAACACGAAAATGTCATAAAATAGTCAATCGTCTCCGTCTAAAAGTTTCTTATCAACTTTTTAATTGAGTGATATGATACAACTTTTAAAACTGTAAATAAAGTTTTAAAATTTGAAAATAAGGCCAGGCATAATTATATCTGTATATCTGAGTTAAGCGTTTGTTTCTTTCTACCCTAATTTTCATTATGTCCTTACGTTTTATTGATTTGTGTGGACACGGAATAAAATCGTCATCCCATTGAAACAAATAAAAATTTATTTCAGCAAAGCAAAACCAAACTTGAGAAAGAATATCCATGCCTACTTACTTTATTTTTAAACACGTACACATGATTTTTTGGCTTAGCTTTGGTATGTACGTATTTAAGTAATAACTACTCTACCAATATGATAGCAGAATTAACAAAAAAAAGATTAATTGATTGGTTGGTTGATTGATTGATTGATTGATTGATTGATTGATTTATTGGTGTTTACCGCCACTTTCAGCACTGTTACATATTTTGTGGCGGTCAGTTTTTATTGGCGGAGGAGGCCGGATTGAACCACCGACCTTCGACAGGAAAACTAACAAAAAAGAACATTATTATGTATACAAATTTTGTTTCCGTTTCTTATTATCAAATCAGCTTACACATTGTACTATTGGTCATGCGCTCTTTCTCATTTTGAGAATTAACGAGTTTCTAGAGTCCCTAACATTCTAATTTAATACTTCTTTCTTTTAGTTTAACATTATGGTCTGTTACCACATCTGTATTGCAACAGGCGTCCGTTTGACTGTGCCGGAAATATACATACGAATCCACGTCCGGTCGGACGTTAAATCCGAAGCCTCGTATAGGGAGAGTGCCACGCTCTGCGAACTGGTTGAGGTGTCAGTATGTGACTTGGTAGATGGCAATAGTTCTGTCCCTATCCAACACACCCTAAGTTTCGAGTGGAAGTCGAAATTGTCAACCCTTAATCCCGGTCCTTCCAAATAGCAGTCTGTTTATGAAGTGTATTGTTAATTTGTTGTCGTTCTGAAAAATGTATGAAATATTTTCTACTGGACGTTAATCAAGTAACAATCAATCTTAATGAAAGGCTTTTCACAGGTCAATATGTTTCCCGTATGTAAAAATTGGTTCCGTGTACTTTGGCAGCTTGTCCCTCTGAATTATCCCGTGCACTGTAATGTTTTGAGGGGGAGTCATTTCCTCTCTCGATTTGTAGAGAATGGTGTGATCATACCTTAATGTGATTATCTAAGGTAATTATATTTGAAAACGCTTGTTATGATAAAAGCTAACTGGCCCTGATATATCTTCACTTTACCTCGTCTTTGTGGTATTTACCGCAGTTCTTGTACTGCTGTGCCCCCCCCCCCCCCCCCCTTCCTCCTCTTTTTTTAGGTGATGCTGGTAATTGACATTTCTTTAATTCTTATATACTTGTATGATCCAGTTTCGAAGTTGGAATACTTACACGGATATCAGACCTCATATTAGATAATGCGTTATTGAATTTATGTTTAGGTAAACGTTTCTTTGAATAAATAACATGAGAAAAAAAAATGGAAATGGGAAAACTTTAAAAAATTTAACTAAAAGATCAGTGTGTTATTTCTATGTGTCGAATTGCATGCACTTACTAGAATAACATACGAATGTTTTTTGAAAACTAATTTGCAACGGAAATCTATACCTTGCAATTGCAACAAGCGAATCTGTGAGCTACTGCTCACTAATGATACCCCGCCCGCTAAAAGTATAAGGTAAATAGGAAGTTGTTGAGTGATGAATCTGAAAACGCATCACACGGTAAAGCGGACTTATATAAACCCTGAAAAAAAATTTCAGAAATCCTTGTATTGTAGTTCCTGAGAAAAATGTGACGAAAAATATTCATGGGACGGATTGACAGACAGAGGTAAAACAGTATACACCCACTTTTTCAAAGCGGGGGTATAATTATCTAATGAACATATTTTACTAGAAAATATAGATTTCGTTGATATTCGGGGAAAATATTTGAACGTTTATGCATGAGTTGTTTATAATCCAATTCAAAACGTTTCAAATAGATAATGAAATTTATTCAAAAACTTAATTGTGTCATATGTATAAAAGGGGATTTGGTAACGTCAATGAGACAGCAACCCAGGAACAAATATAACCAACATATATCCAGTGGACAACCGTAGAGGGTATATATACACTATGTCAAGGTATATGTTGTACATTGTATCTGTATTATGGGTTATATGAATCTTTGTTGATAGTATTTTTATGATTTCTGAATTAAGTTTGATGTATTGTTTGACTTGTAAAATTATGTCGTACAATTACAAGTAAGGGTTTCTATATCTCTGTTACCAGGTTATGGTTATCCTTAGATAAATTGATATTTCATTCGTTCTAAAAGTATTAAGTTTTATTCAATTGTGTTTTGAATATTTTGGCTATAGCTGCTATATATATCCCTTTTGTGTGTTCTATAAAACAGTTTATGATCAAGTTTGTCCAGTTGTAAGAAGTGGAGAGTGTGTCACCTGTACTAATTGTAAGAAGTGGAGAGTGTGTCACGTGGACTAATTGTAAGAAGTGGAGAGTGTGTCACGTGGACTAATTGCACAAGACAATAAATACAATGCATATATTTGTTTTATTACTTAATTTACTTTGACAGTTTTCATAATTTTGGGTGCCGATTTAGCTTTTTTAAGAGAAAGTGGTAATTTCAAGTCCCTTTTCTCGCCTCTAATCTTTTCTAGATACAAATACGTTTGGTGTTCCCTGCTTGTTACCTCGTCTAAGGCTTTTATAACAATTTGGACGTCATCAAGTTTGAATCCAGCACGAACCATGTGATCAGCTTCCACTTTGCTTGAAACTTCCGCCAACCATCTATTTCTGACAACAATATCGCCAGCCCGTACAGACAATGGGTCAAACTGAAGCTTTAAGATATCACAATTAAATTCGTTCACAAGCATATCTTTGACCTCTTTGTGGGAATACTTTTCGTTCTCTGGTAAACTGAAGCACACCACAAGGGGGCGTTTTTCTGGACAGATTTTGAGTGTATGTGTAGCCGGGTAACATCTGTCTTCATATTTACTTGTATCCCATTTTTTGGGTGGAACCGGCGATTCTTCGACATCCCTATAGGCACCTGTTGATCTAACAGAATGGAAATATAATTTAACACAAATAGAACTTAACGCCAAACAAGCAACAAAAATAAGTTGAATGTAGGTAGTAGAAATCTACTTTTACGGACGAAGAATAATTCATGATTCATAGGCACAGCTTGGGGAATGGACCCCCCCCTTTTTTTTTAAAGTAATTTTTTGTAATATTTTGCGCTACGGGGAATGGACCCCCTTTTTCTATTTTTGTGTGTGCAAATATTCTGTAATGTGTTCTTGCTCTTTTTCCATACGGTATTACAATAACAGTAGTCAGTTATAAATTTTGACCATCTATTACCGTATTATTTTCCAAAATGATAATAGAGGATCAAATGAAAGTTATAAACAACTGTTATTGTAATATCGTATGGAAAACAACAAGAACACATGTACAATCAGTTGATATATTACAAAATGCTTAAAAAATAGAAAAATGGTGTCTTTTTCCCTTACCGCCTTTGGTAGAATTTAGCTCCGTCGTAATTATGTTGCTGTTTTTTTATTTTTTAATTTTTATCAAAAACTGTCTCAGCGTAACAACTAAATTACATTTTAGTTAAATTATTAATTAAGGGCATATATACAGTTTTGATCCCACGCGGTGATTATTTTACGAAAATTTGGATACAAGCTATTTTTAAACTAGTCAATTTAAATTTCATTCCTTTAAACAGACATATGTAACTTTTTTTATTTCAAAAGATAATCGCAATCAGATTTTTGTAAACACATTTGGAATATCGTCTTTACATAAAAAATTGAAAACAACACATTCAATAATTGCATGCGTCCGAAGCGCTTTTCTGGATTTACCTTTATCAGGAACGCTCAAAGCCAAATATTTGAAAACAGAGGATGTATAAGTACCGAAACAGTTGAAGAGCTTTATGACAAAAAATACCTAAAAAATTACCAAATCCATCTAAGGTCAACTTTGCCTGAGGGAGTTGAAACCTTAGTTTCTTTATAATTTCAAAATTTATAAACGGACAATTTAAGAAAGGTTTGTTATAAATCATGTCAGTACCGAAGTACTGACTACTGAGCTGAGTATACCATAAGTTTGTGTAACAATTCTTTGGAAATAATTTATTTCCATTTTTTTTTTCATAATTTAAAAAAAAAAAAACGGCATTTTTGGCTGTATATTTATCTAATTTAACTTGCAAAATACCATCGTTTCCGCAAGTTTATTGAATTCTGTTTGGTATTAAATTAATAATTAAGATCCATTTTGTTACATCTGGTGATCCGTTTATTTGGCAATCGCCAATGGCAGTCAGCAGGGTTTAAGAACATCCGTTGTTCGACCTATTAGTCAAATGCGTTTTGTTAAAATGTACTTTTTCACTTTTTTGGTCTTTTGGAAAATGTTGTTTGTGCTGTATTTAGACCCCTCTACCAAGAAATTTGTTTTGCATGCACACGTATAAAAATTGCGGTTTTTATCCAACGCAATCATAGGTTTGAACGTTGTTTTCAATTTATACTTGTTTATATTTTTTCGTTTGGGCATGTATTATATTTGCCTTCGGGTTTATATGATCCGTTCATCCTATTTCGACTCTTTAAAATTCAAGAGTCTATCCTAAATTGAGGTAAATTATATGGCCTTCCAAATACCGTTTCGATTCCTAACAACACTGTAGGATATAAATTGAATATTCTTTGGTGTATAAAACGCTGAAAGTAGCATATTTTGTACTACAGTGCATAATATAAAGATTAATATAGTTCAAATAAAGTATATGTGTTGACTCCCACGTATATTTTTTTGTAATCATATCCCATTTTTACACTAGCTGATGGCTTAGTTCCGTCTATTCAAAATATTTTATTGTTCAAATATCAAATCATGACAAATGTACATTTAAACAAAGGGATTGGACAAAAGGCAGTGCCTATACAAATCCTTTCCCATACAAGATGGATTGAATAACATGATAGTATATAATTTTCTGGATTAATAAACCTCCTTTTCTAATTAAAGTCCATGTCTGGTGATTTTTTTTCAAGAATTTAACAATCAAAAATATGTGTATTTATTTATTATATACATATATAATATTGTATTTATATAGTGGATATGTTACCTTTTAAGTATATCAATATCTGGGTCACTGACCTCACTGGCTTCCATCTTTGTAGTGGTAATGATAGTTTCGTCTTTATCTTTGATCTCTGTAACATTCTTTTTCAAATGAGTGGCTGGTGGCTTAGCTCTAGCTTCTTTTTCTCTGAACGGATCTCGAAACCCTAACGAACGAATGTTTTCAGGTAGTTTATAATCGGAAGCTGCCCTATTGTCATCTGTAAAGGAAACTTGTCTTCCTTCTACAGCTGCCGACTTTGCCCTGTAAACTCCGCCATTTCGTTCATGTTCGCTCCTACGGACTAAACAACCAGTTTTCGGTCTGACTATGTCGCCAGTTTCTTTATAGAATTTCCATTGAAAGCTATCTATAACCGGGTTGTAGGATAAAACTGATTTAAAACCTTTCAACTTTAAAATCTTGCTCATCTTTGTACGTATTTCATTTTCATTGCCATGCATATAGGCTTCCAAATATTTGACGTCTTGACTTAAACATGCTTTGTCAAACATATCATTGATATTTACATTGCTTACCTCTGCAGGCCTCGTAAAAAAAGAAGCGGATCCTGCTCTGTAAGAACTTAATGGTATATGGTATTTTGATTCTATATTACGTAAAATCATAGCTTGGCTTGATGTAGGCATTTTACAATGACCCCACCTATTCTTTTGGAGCAAACCCCATGACGACAAACAGTGACGTGATAGATTGGCATAACGACGTTCAGTTATTGAGATTAAGATATATGGATTTCCCCCCTTGATTTTGACTTTCGAATACTGTACGCAATTACGTTTTTATAATTAACGATGTGAATCAAATTTACTTAACCACTTTTCAGAGTATCTGTGATTATAAGTCCGAGATTGCTCTGACGTCTGATGGTCTTATTTGTAGATTTGCTTGTGTCGACTCGTGAGGGCCTCAGTAAGTCATAAAAAGACCATCAGACGTCAGAGGAATCTCGGACTAATCTGGCTGTTGAAGTGAATCAATGAATGAACATTTATCGTGATAAGTCATTGAAATCTCTTGACAGAGAACCAAATGATGCGGACACTAGTTACACACTGAGTTTCCAGGTTGTATCTCTAGGACTTTGATTTAAATTTGAACTTTAAGTAATATGTTGACACATTTATGGTTATGTATTGACCAATATGACGTTCACTTTTGCAATAGGGTGTCGATTGAAACAACTCATTATGTTTAAGTATAGATAGGAATGTTCTAGGCAAGATGTCTATGGCGTATCAAGAGGGTCAAAAGTATTTTTTTCATGCAAAAGCACTAATTTAATGCAAATGCGATATTTAATGTTGCAAATGCTATATAATTGTAGCTTTTGCGCTTCTTGTAATATTTCGTAGCAAATCCTATCGGCTAACATACCATTAGGCTCATATATTCATTTGGTGCATTTGCGGTAATTAATGTAGCATTTGCGGTATTTAATGTAGCATTTGCGGTATTTAATGTAGCATTTGCGGTATTTGTTACCGCATTATCTTAATCTTAACACAAAAATATACAGAGAAGACCAATTGTATATTTCTTTCTTCTGATACCGAGAGGTTCAAAAGTATAAACAGCAAATGCAATACTTAATTCTTAAGCAAATACAGCAAATGCAATACTTCGTATTTAAATTAGAAGGTTGTTTCTTCTCTTCGCTTGATTCTCCGCCCATTTGTACTTAAATCTCCGCCCACTTCAAATATCGAAACACCCAATCAGTTCACAATGTGTAAAAACTGAAAAACGTATATTATGTGAATAATCATTGACGTAAATTAATAATAATAGTTTTTGTGATTTTTTTCTGCTGATCCTCTGTTACTAATACCTAAATATTTGTTCAAAATGGCGTATAATGACAATTTGAATGGCTTTCTTAGTGTATTTCAAACCATTGTTAATGACATCGTACGAACTTTAAACAATGACGATGCTTCGTTTGATTTTATGGATGTGGCATTGAATCGACTTAATGCACTATGGCGGAATTTAGGAAGAATGGTTACTGCATATCCTCAATGCAACCTACTTACAGAGGATTTTCAAAGACTGATCACCATTATAGAAGATATTAAAAGGTTTGGAAAATTAATAGGGATGTCAAATCGGTGAACAATTACTAATCGAGTACTCATTTTTTTTTTTATCTATTGTTTTAAAGCATTTTATAAAATCTATCTTCTCAGATTTTATTTCAAAATTCTATCTAATAGATTTGTTATTATTCACAAAAAAGTTTTTGTTATCATGAATAATCTATGCAAAAGGAGTAGGTTCAGTAAGACCCCCTTTTGGCCCCAAAATATAGCAGTTTTACAAAATCATTAAAATGTAAACTTTATTGGAAAGTAGAATACTTCTGCAACATAAATATCGGCTGTTTTTGACAATACAATGCACATATATCGGGTACTAGCATCTTAAAGTCATGCTAAATTACTGAAATCTTCATAATTTTAGCATTTGAGTTTTTAGACGGTTTCCGTCTTAAATGGAAGTGGGTGCATTTGTGTTCATTCTTAATATTTAAATGTAAGTTGTATTTCATGAAAATACATAACATATATAAAGGTTGAGAGTGAACACGGATGTGGCCACTTTCATTTTTGACAAAAAACATCTGAAAAGTGACATATTATGGCATATGTGATATATTTTTCATATTTCAGCTTGCATTTGAGCGTCTTAAATGACTAAATCAGTTCAAATCTTTAACATGAAATAATTGAATCGACTGAAGTAGACACTTAAGTGTTTAAAAGTGTCCAAAATATTTCATCGGATGAACCTGAAATTTGAGGTCAAAATCGGCTCTTACCGGACCTACACCTTTCCCAATTTTGCAAGACTTGTAGCTTGAACAAAGCATGATCAAATCTACATTTAGGAAAAGTATAAGACAATTCTGTTTGAGGATCTACACCTTAAATCAGTCCACATGTTCTGCATGAGAAACGTAGATAATCTTGTTTCAGGAGATTTATAAATATACCTGAACATGTAAAAATAAGAAGATGTGGTATGATAACCAAAATGAGACAACTCCCCACCAAAGAACAAATAACATAGAAGTTAGTGTAAACATATTTTATTAATTAAATTCAGGTTACGTAATGTACACAAATTGGCATTTACATATTAATACAAGTGAATAATTAATAGGATCCAGAAACAAGCTGTTAGCTTATATTAATCCGTTTCCTAATTCAAATAAGAACATTCCATATTGTAATACTCAAGGAGAAGAATGTAAAAAAAATAACAATGTTACACTAGATGGAAAACAAACAAAACATATACATGTAATAAGGTTGTGAACACAAAAGAGAAAAAAAAACATAGAAGTTAAAAACCATGAATAACCATACGGAAATAATGAGCAAAACACATACACGCATAGTAAGCCACGAAAGGCCCTGAAATGACAAAACGTAAACAAATTCAAACGAAAAACTAACGACCTGATTTATGTACAAAACAATAAACGAAAAACAAATATGATATGTTTGGAAACATTTGGATGTATTATACATTTTAAAGAAACAAATTATAATTTCTATCTGCATAGAAATAGCTGTCACTCACAGCATGTATTCCGAGGGTTTATCAAAGGTGAAGCAATACGGCAAATTGGAAACACAAATGACCATAACAATTTAATAAAAAATCTAACTAATTTCAATAGGGGTTATGATAACGTCGAAATAGATGATAGTATTACTGATGCTTTATCAATTGACCGTACTGAATTATTACAGCAAAATAAATCGAAGGAAAAAGAAAATATTCCGTTAGTTTTGATAACTAAATATAACCATATATATATATATATATACGTAAAATAAAGAAACGGGCATTTATTACAGTTTGACGAAGATTGTGTATAAATATTCAATGATGCACCAATAGTTGCGTATAGCAAACATAAAAGTGTTGGAGATATGCTTAGTAGATGAAAGTTGAAGACTTTAACATAAAATTGACAGTTGGACCCCTGATGATGGCAGATCTGTCATAATAACTAGACCTATTGATGAAGAATTAAAATATAAATATATCAATATATACATGAATAATTTTCATATTTGATTATATTAAAATAATGCATCTAAAATTACCATCCCAAGCCAGAGCCTCTAATCCCAAGCTTTAACTGCCGAAACACTAAAATAGTGATCAATAGTACGTGTTGGGTCCTATCATGCAATTTGGGATGTGGGGTTGCATGGGTGTTTTATAATAACAAAACTCAATGAAAATCAACAAAGCACTTAAATAACTTTTTCTAGTAAATTTTTTTGGCAATTTTATCAAGTGAGATGTAAAGATTTCTGTACTTAACTTTTAATTTTCACATTTTTTTTTCATTTTTCATTTTCAAAATTCAATATCCCTAAAAATGCACCAATATCCCATATCCCATTTATTTTTAGGACAAATATCCCATATCCCTAAAATTAAAATGGCAAATATCCCGTATCCCAATAAACCCTATACAAGCCTCACAACTGTTGTTCATTCTCGTCTATATGACAACTGACTAATATCAGAGACATATAATACAAGACTAATATCAGAGACATATAATACAATGTATTATATGTCTCTGCTAATACATAAAGTTTCTCACAAGATCGTGCTATAAACATCTGTTCTTAAATTTGATTAAACATTGCTTTATGATCTTAGATTATTTTGATAAACTTCTAAATGTTATTGCATCTGTACTGTGCAACCCATGTACCGTATAAACTGTCACATTAATCAAGATGTAAGATCATTAAACTGATTAAGAACTGACCATCAACTCTTTGATGTAATTAACCACGCCACAATAGACTAACAGCAAACGAAAACTTAAATAATTTCTATGAAATGTATTACTTTTACAAAAACAGCACTTTAAATATATGCACGATTTAGAAATATTTGGTCCTTTCGGTTTAACGGTCCTTTTTTGGTCATAATCATAACATTATATTTATTTAAATACTCACGGATTTCGAAAGTTAAGCGCTTCGAATACACAAAATATCTTTATTGTATAGTTCATTCACATAAGGGAAATCTTAAGACGAGAACATTCATTTATTTCGACATACAATTTTCAAGCTAAGAATTTTTTATTCATTTCAAAATTGCGCGAGTTTTTATGACAAGATCAGCAATTATATTGTATCTGTTGAAAATATTCGTGCGAAACATTAAAAGAGGACAATAACATTGCTGAAATAGTGGAGATTTGAAAAGACCTGAATCACATATCCTTTAACTATAAATTTTATGACCCGATTCGTAAAGATGACCGTTACAGAAAACACCAAAGAGGTGGTGTTCTCGAAGCTATCTTATGATTAGGACGTGTCCTAAGACCAACTTATGACAAGTCTTTGTCCTAAGTCGTGTTCTCGAAGCTCTCTTAACTTAAGATATATTGCATTTTTCGTCCTACCGTTCGAACACCTAATTAGATGTCTTAAGATCATCCTTTCTTCATTCTAACTTAATAAAGTTTGAATTTCACTTTTTGCTCAATTTTTACGTGTAGATAAACATGAAATAAAACGCACCATCGGTTATTAACTCGTATATAAAGAAATTGTGCAGGCTTTTAAACTTTGAACTTCGTGT